GAATTAATCATTCTAAAAATAATAGCTAATATCTATTGACTGCTTATGATGTGCTAGAGAAAAGGAAAGATATACCCATCTGAATGCAGAGTTTCAAAGAAGAGCAAGGATAGATAAGAAAGTCTTTCTCAGTGATCAATGCAAAGAAATAGAGGAAAACAATGGAGTGGGAAAGACTAGAGATCCCTTCAAGAAAATTGGAGATACCAAGGGAACATTTCATGCAAAGATGGGCACAATAAAGGACAGAAAAGGTATGGACCTAACAGAAGCAGAAGATATTAAGAAAAGGTAACAAGAATACACAGAAGAACTATACAAAAAAAACTTCATGATCCAGATAACCATGATGGTGTGATCACTCACCTAGAACCAGACATCCTGGAATCTGAAGTGAAGTGGGCTTTAGGAACTGTCACGATGAACAAAGCTAGTGGAGATGATGGAATTCCAGTTGAGCTATTTCAAATCCTAAAAGATGATGCTGTTAAAGTGCTGCTCTCAATATTCAAGCAATTTTGGAAAACTCAGGAGTGTCCACAGGACTGGAAAAGGTCAATTTTCATTCCAATTCTAAAGAAAGGCAATGCCAAAGAATGTTCAAACCACCACACAATTGTACTCATCTCACATGCCAGCAAAGTAATGCTGAAAATTCTCCAAGGTAGGCATCAACAGTATGCAAACCGACAACTTCCAGATATTTAAACTGTATTTAGAAAAGGCAGAGAAACCAGAGGTCAAATTGCCAACTTCCATTGGATCACAGAAAAAGCAAAAGAGTTCCAGAAAAGCATCTACTTCTGTTTTATTGACTATACCAAAGCCTTTGACTGTGTGGATCACAACAAACTGTGAAAAATTCTTCAAGAGATGGGAATACCTGACCACCTGACCTGCCTCTTGAGAAATCTGTATGCAGGTCAGGAAGCAACAGTTAGAACTGGACATGGAACAACAGACTGGTTCCAAATTGGGAAAGGAGTGTGTCAAGGTTGTATATTGTCACCCTGCTTATTTAACTTGTATGGAGAGTACATCATGTGAAAATGCCAGGCTGGATGAAGCATAAGTTAGAATCCAGATTGCAGGGAGAAATATCAGTAACCTCAGATACACAGATGACACCACCCTTACGGCAAAAGCGAAGAGGAACTGAAGAGGCTCTTGATGAAAGTGAAGGAGGAGAATGAAAAAGCTGGCTTAAAGCTCAACATTCAAAAAGCTAAGATCATGGCATCCGGTCCCATCACTTCATGGAAAATAGATGGAGAAAGAATGGAAACAGTTGAGAGACTTTATTTTCTTGGGCTCAAAAATCATGGCAGATGGTGACTGCAGCCATGAAATTAAAAGATTCTTGCTCTTTGGAAGAAAAGCTATGACAAACCTAGACAGTGTATTTAAAAGCAGTGACATTACTTAGCCGACAAAGGTCTGTCTAATCAAAGCTATGGTTTTTCCAGTAGTCATGTATGGGTGTGAGAGTTGGACTATAAAGAAAGCTGAGCAGTGAAGAATTGATGCTTTTGAACTGTGGTGTTGGAGAAGACTCCTGAGAGTACCTTGGCCTGCAAGGGGATCCAACCAGTCAATCCTAAAGGAAATCAGTTCTGAATATTCATTGGAGGGACTGATGCTGAAGCTGAAGCTTCAGTACTTTGGCCACCTGATGAGAAGAACTGACTCATTTTAAAAGACCCCGATGCTGGGAAAGATTGAGGGCAGGAGGAGAAGGGGATGACAGAGGATGAGATGGTTGGATGGTATCACCGACTCAATGCACATGAGTTTGAGCAAGCTCCAGGATTTCGTAATGGACAGGGAAGCCTGGCATGCTGGAGTTCATGGTGTCACAAAGAGATGGAGACCACTGAGTGACTGAACTGAACTGAACTGAGGTGTTATTTAAGATATATATTTAATCCACATATAATCTTATGTTGCAAGTACTATGATCATTCCCATTTTACAAGTAAAAAGGTAAGAAGTAAAGTGAAAGTTATTAAATAAGCATTACTATTTGAATATAATTCTTATTGTGAATCCAAGTCTCTTTCAGTACACCTCTTTTTTCATCCTGCTCTTTATCCTGCTGCCAGTGTTTGTTCTCCCCTAAACATCTATATTCTGTATGTCTGTCAAATCAAACTGTTTGTTGTTCCACTTATATTCTATCTCATTTCCTCTCTTTTATGTCTTTGCTCTTTCTATTCTCTTTGTCTAGAATACCCTCTCCCCACCATTCTCCATCTTCCAGAACTCTGCCTAACAACGTCTATACTCCAAACCTTTTCTGATTCCCATGGTTGGAAGGAATCTGTCTTCTAAATCCTCTCCATTTTTGTGCTTACAGTGTCTCTGCTTCAACATAGAATTAATCATGTATCATTTTGAGAGTCACTCTCAGATGTAGACTTGCACCCACACCTTTGTTCCTACACAGCAGTCAGCACAGAGACTAAATAAGTGAGTGGGTGGAAGATCTTCTGCACACAGTGGACCATTCCTGCTGCAGAAGTCAGTCAAAGAATTGTATCAGGAACTTGCCTGGATCCAGAGCTGGAAACCTACAAACAGCATTACATGAGATCCTGGAGATGACCTCTTTCATCTCAGACTGTGACTTACATGTGGAAATTCAGTACAAGGAATCAAGAAAGGACTGGAAGGACCTTGTGTCTATATGACCTTCTGTTTCAAAACTGACTTCCTCACTTCTTGGAGGCAACCCCCCTGCCTACTTTCCTCTATCTGACGATTATTCTTTTCAAGTTCCAATGAATCTCTCACCTCCTGCCAATTTGTTATAGCTGAAGCAAGTGCCAAACACATTTTACCCCCACACCTCTTTATCGCTTAGAAAAACTGTCCTGTATTTGGAGCTCTTTGAGCATCTGTAAAGGAGTAATTGGTTCAAGCAACTCTAGGAGGTGATGTGTGGCCTGGTAGGTGTACCAGGAGAGAGGCTGAGCTGGTGACCAGAGGCATTTGGTTCCTGGGAGGCATAAAGAATGACCACTGCTCACCACTTGTGTGATGATTACACACTCTGGCCCTGGACTGCTTTGTCTTCCAATCCGAGAAAGCCCTTTTCCCCACCACCTACTTTTCCTGTGGCCAAGGCCTCTTCTCATCATCATCTGCTTTCCCACATGGCTCCAGCACCACATCCAAATAGCTCCATGTACATTCAAGCTAAATGTGCTCAAACATCTCCCAAAGAGGGCACTTCTCCCACTAGGAGAAATGAAAGGCAGGAGCACTAAAGTCGTCCTGGGGTAATTCCGGTTTCTCTGGAACCCTGGAGTCTAGATGATGAAATCTGTTGGATGGGATGCACTCTGCTTGGCAGAGGAAAGGAAAGTATCTTTTGTGCAGTTTAAGATTCTCTCAGGAGGTCAGGAACCATTTTAAATGGCCCTCTAAACATTCTTAGAGGAAGTCCTCTCCTTTGGATTCAGAAGGGCAGTTACTGGACCAGACTGAGACCTTGGGGCACTATTTTGGCTCCAGCAAGTGTTAGCTGTGCATCCTTAAGCAAATCACTTCCTCCTTTGGAATTCATATCTTCTCATCTAAGACACTAGTGAGTTGAATTACATGCCCCCGAAGGCCTTTTCCTGCTTTGACGTCCTGTTGAGGGGGGTGTGTGTGTGTGGGTGTGTGTGATCTTGAGTTCAAGGGAGAGATAATGGTTAGATTGAGGAGATATGATTCAAAGCTGACACTTCCCCCTAGAAATAGAACTCACTTTAAGTTTTATAATCACGTCCCATGTGTAACTTTTTCCTTCATAAGTCTGGAATTGGTTTTTACCCCTGAAAGGCCTGAAGCTATTTTTTAATTTCTTCAATTTGAGAATCAACTTATTATTGATGTTGGATGCTAAAAGAAAAATCTCTAATAGCTTCATCACAAAGCCATCCTTCTTTTACTCTGGCCAAGGAAATGGATCTGTCTTGCTACACGAGATTAAATTTTCAATAGCCCCAAATATAAAATTATATATAAATATTTCTATATTTCAGCACATTAAAAGTATCTTAAGCTTAGCATTAATTAGTCTCGAGAAGAAAAGGGTAAACACAAGTGCTATTCATTTATTACCTTAACTCCAGTTAGATCAATGAACAGTCTCCATGTAAACAGCATTATTCATTAAACAAACAAGATGATTTTAAAATGAATGTTTTTTTTAAAATTTTTTTATTTTTAAAGAATGAAATAAAGGGGGAGCGTGAATGTGAATGTGAACATGGAGTAGTGGTTCTCTGACTGATTTGCATGCATGAGTACTCTCGTGGGCTGCCAGCTTGAGAGATGTGACCAAGATGAGACTGGTTGCTGGTGTGAGCTACTATTGTTCTAAAAATGCTTTTAAGAACTTCCTTCTCTGTTTCAAGGTTTAACTGTTTAAATGGCTATTACTTCACTGATATCTAAATATACTAACACGTAGAAGATTAGCAGGGAAAATGCTTTAATAGTGTGGTTAAGATTCCATATGTTAATTATTTCATATGATAACAATGTAACACTTTTATTCACTGGAAACTCACAAATCACACTATTTACAAAAGTTGTTTCCATTAAATTGAAACAAAGAAAGTTTAGTATGTTTTAATATAAAAAGGAAAAAGGGGGCTGAATTCTCTTCACAGATACAATTGTTAACAGTCTATTGTTAAAGAATCATATTATTAGGAGAAGAGTCAGGATAGGAATAATAAATAAAAATGCAGTTATTACATTTGTGAAAATGCGATAACCCCAAACATTTACTTGCTTGGCTTTAGAATAAATCATGTAGTTTTTTAAAACCAGAATTTATAAACAGTTTGGCTAGCTTAATGTTAAAGTGAGTTTACATTTTCTGAGGGTACAATAATTGGGCTGAAAGTGAGTCTGCTGTGTGGTGATAGAGGAAAATGTTGGTTGAAACATCACTGTTGGATAAAACACCAATGACTAATTAAACACACATACACACATAAGCAAACAATTAAATAACACTTTAACTACAGAAAGCGGGAACTGTCCAAATGTGGGTCATTTGAGTCAATCCCAAATCAGTTCCCATTTGTATAGTCTCTGCTTCAAAATGAATCCAGAAGAAATGAGGATAAATATATACAATTACCACAGATATGTGATAATACAAACAGATTTAGGCAACTCTGGGGCATGTTGTTTGGCAACGTTCAGGGAAGATTGTCAAAACACTTCTATGATCACAGGGATACTGAAAGTCAGGGGAGGGGGTTACCGAGATTCTGAGGTCGAATCTTCCTGATTATAACCCAGGACAAGGATACTTTTTTTTCTCCTGATGTAGAGTTCAGAGATCTGCAAAGAGTTCAGGGCTCACTGGTTCATAGAATAAGGATGAAAAAGTGGGAGTGTTTCTTCATAATAAGCCACAGTGGATGGGGTCCAAACAAACTGCTCAATGTCAGTTATCCATTCTCGTCACTTGTATAGCTGAAAATCACTTTCATAAACTATGACTTCAGTGGTCTCTCCCAACAGTCTTGTAAGGTAGTCTTGTTTTATTGAACAAAACTGAGATGCAGAGAGAATAAGCACCTAGGTCACGTGATTTAGAACTTGAACCCAGGCCTTTGAATTCCAAGTAGAGCTCATCTTTGAAAAAGACAGTGTGTTCTAGAAAAATGGCTCAGGCCTTAGCAAAATGGCCACACAGATTACATTCGTTGCCAGTGGCAAACTGCACCCCTTTGTCCTTGATACTGGAGTTTCTGACATCACTTACTTTAAGGTGTCAGGAACTGGATTGTGTTCCTCATTTCAGGATTGTGTCTTCACCCAAAAGAATGATGAACTTTCAAGGATCAGAGGAAAAGAAATTTTTTGGTTCTTTTCTTTGAAATGACACCATTATAGATAACTAATGACCTGATTATGAGAAAAATTCTTTTCTGGCAACCAGAATCCAAGAGAATGTTCTAAGGAAATCATAAGATCTGAGTGAAAAAGCTCATTGGGATGGCGTGAACTGTCTCCCCATGAGGCTGTAAACCCCACACTGTAACTCATGCTTTTATCTCCATTGTTCTATATTCTGTTGGCTTTTGACTTTCCTGCACTGACTGGATACAGAATGAGGTAAGATGAAGTATGAATCTAGAAGACCAACTGCGGCCTCTGACACCTAAATATCTAGATATAACTCAATGACTCCAATGACTTCTGCCAATTCATTTTGCTATTTAAATATTTTTACACATAGTAGGTAATCAGTCAGTGTCGGCTCCTGTTGCTCTTTAATCTCGCTGGTGTCCTTGTGTACAGTACGTTGAGCAGGTATCAGTAAATGTTAGCTGCTGTGGTTTGTGTCAAGCCGCACTGCATTTTATGACTGCAGAAGCATCCAGATCCTTTAGAGCAGCGAAGTGTGAAAACAGTTGCCCTTTCCCCATGCAGCCTGTGAACTTGGTTATTGATAAACTGTGCTCCAAGTACTGGCTTTTGGATTTTCAATGGTGAAATACCAGTGGGTCACTTCAGCCTGATACAATCCACCTCCTCCGTGGCCGGCAGGCGACTGGTTTTGAGGTCGAGGTCAGCACTGGACTTACTCCCATGGTGGGAGGGCCGCCGGTGGAGCAGCAGCATTTTCTTGAAGTACTTCATGGTGGTGTTCTTCACTGTCACGAAGCACACGGTGTTGATCATGCTGTTGCTCATAGCGATGCACTCCACAACGTAAAAGGCTGTGAGGTAATGCTTTTCCTTCACGAACACAGTGGGGAAGAAGTCGCGCACGATTGTGAAGCCATAGAAGGGCGCCCAGCACAGAACATAGGCCGTGAGGATACACATGAGTACCAGTACCGTCTTCCGGCGGCAGCGCAGCCGCTTCCGGATCTGTTCAGTCTGGACACCCGGGACTGCTTTGAACCAGAGCTCCTGGGAGATCCTGGCATAGCACAGGGTCATGGTGACCACGGGGCCCAGGAATTCGATGCCAAAGACAAAGAGGAAGTAGGATTTATAGTAGAGCTGCTGGTCCACTGGCCAGACCTGGCCGCAGAAGATCTTTTTCTGGTTTTTGACAATGAAGAGGACGGTTTCCTTTGTGAAGTAGGCTGATGGGATGGAGATGAGAATGGATACCATCCAGACCAAAGCGATCAGGAAGGAGGCTGTTTGATAATTCATTCGTGGTTTCAAGGGGTGAACGATAGCGAGATATCTGGTGGGGGAGGGAAGCATCAGTAGCAATGATGTATGCTGATATATGCTTGTAATTATTATTAGTTTTAGCTAACCCAAACACCCACAGTAGCAGACAAAATGGCACAATGACTCCCCACGTACCTATTTTCCAGTGTCAACATACTTCATTTTATTTTAGCAACATCATTTGGCATTTGGAAGAGAGGAGAGGTTTAGTGGGAATAGCACAGGATTTGGGTCAAACAGATAGAATAAATCCTGGCTTTTAACCTGATTGGCTTTGGGGGTCTAGAGTGAATCAGTCTCTCTGAGATTCCTTTCCTCAAATGCAACATGGGATAAAATGACACCTACCTTGCAGGGCTGCTGTGAATATTAAATGTTACAATGTTTGTGAAATGCTTGGCATGTACTAGATATTCAGTAAATACATGCAGTCTATCATGATTATAAATCCTATTGATACCAACTGACTTTCCAGCTTGCCATTCTGCCTAAGAATATAATTCTTTCAAAACTTTTCAATTCACATATCTCCTGGTGTAGAGGCAAAAGGTCTGTGGACTAGGACTTTCTTTGTGCTGACACCCTCAGGTGTCATTCTGCATTACAGAGCTGGAGGGTAGGGGTGGTTTAGGGTGGAATCTGAGAAATCTAGTGAGATGTAAATGACTTGCCCAAGCTCAGTTGGTGCAGGGAATGGAATGTAGGCTCCTGATACAATTTACACCCACCTCCATGGGCTGTCTCAAGCTCAGATTAGAAGGTATGTAAAGTTGCCTTGACATCATCAAGCAGCATATAGCATAAGGCTTTTATCCTCTTTCCAGTCAGCAACACTGCCTGGGAAAGAGGTTGGAGCCCTTAGTGGGAAATGAGTCCAATTGTGTAGGTTGAACACCTCCTTTCTAGAGAAACCTAATAACACCTATTTAGATAATTTAGTGCCTTGGAATCATTCTTGTGCATTTTATGGGTCAAGAGGAAGAGGTGGTGGAGGAAGATAGAGGAAGAAAAGAGGCATGAGGGGTTGGGAAGAAGCAATTCAGTCTTGGAGATGAACATATACCTCATACCTGGAGCTTGAGTCAGGTTATGACCAACAGCAGGAAGACACCCATAGATTTCTATCTAGCCTTCCCTGGTGGCTCAGATGGTAAAGTGTCTGCCTATAATGCGGGAGACCCAGGTTGGATCCCTGGATCGGGAAGAGTGTCTGGAGAAGGAAATGGCAACCCACTCCAGTATTCTTGCCTGGAAAATCCCATGGATGGAGGAGCCTGGTAGGCTACAGTCCCTGGGTCACAGAGAGTTGGACACTGAGTGACTTCACTTTCACTTTACACTTTTTGGTAACTAGACCCTTTGGTCACCTTTCCAAGTTTCTGACTTGACCAAGAAGGCCTTCTGGAGTTCTATTTTTGTCTGTCCCTGGCAATAATCTGTCATGAGGTTGTTTTACCTGTTTTTGCCTTCCCCTTGCCCACCAGCAGCTCTGACCTTAGACTTCAATTAGGAGATCTCATGGCAGCCTGGTTCACCCCAGGTTGCAGCTTTCTGAAGACCTGAGATAAAACTGGATCTCATCCCAACCACTGGCTGCACCCTAGCTATATAAATTAATGAGCAGTGCGTGCTAGATTTGTTCATCCATGGGTCCCAGTTTTTCCAAGTTAACCTGCACGAATTGCCTGGATAGTACAAGGCTCACAGGGCTGGAGACTGGGACAAGTGGGTTAGCTCATTCTGCCCCACTGGGGCAGGGACATCTCACAATCATTGTCTCTCTGTGATGCCAAGTGTATCAGTTCCCTATTGCTGCTATAACAAATTACTACAAACTCAATGGCTTAAACAAATTTATTATCTTATAGTTTTGAAGTCTTAAGTCTGACATGTATCTTACTGGGCTACCATCAAGGTGTTGGTAGGCCTGTGTTCCTTTCTGGAGGCTCTTAGGGAAAAATCTCATTTGTTTTTCCTTTAGGGCTGCCTGCATTACTTGGCTTATGGCCCCCTTATATGTTCAAAGCCATCAATGATCAGTCAAGCCGTTCCCACAACACATCACCCTGACACTGACTTTTCTGCTTCCCTCTTGCCCATTTAAGGACTGTTGTGATTACACTGAGCCCACCCAGATAATCCAGTATAATGTCCTTATTTTATGATCAGCTAATTAGCAACCTTAATTCCTCTTAGGCATAACATGTTCTGGGGATTAAGATGTGGATATCTTGGGGGTCATTATTCTGCCTCCCATAGTGAGTTCAAAGTCCTTACATAATGCAGAACTAGTTCAGGACTTAATAACTCTCCCAATCTGATTCCAGCATGAAAAGTATCTTAGTAACCAATGCTAAAGAGAATTTCTACAGCCCTGCTTACTCTGCTGTCAACTCTTAAATTCTAATTCCTTTTCACTCAGTAACTTCTTCCTTATCCTATAGGATGCTCCAAAATTTAGAGCTTTATTTTATGATTTATTGTCATCAACTAAATAAAATAAAGAACACTGCCTAGGCATTATTCAGAAGCCCTGAATTTTAGCTCTGTACCTAAATCCTCAGATAAATCACTTATGCCCCTGGGGCTTAGTTTCTTCATCTGTGAAAGGTAGACAAAAATAACTACAAATAACCTTTTTGAAAGGTTCCATTTGAGAAGGTAAATGTACATAAAGCATGCTGGAAGCTATAATACTTTGTTTAAACTCATCTTTTCCTATGACCCTTTCATTGGCAAGAGGGACATCTGTAAAGTCTTTGTTGCCATCTATCTGCTTGGCTATTTCTTGAGATCAACACTCTCCTTCTGGGGTCTCTGTGATTTCAAATAGCATCTCTTCTAGGCCCTCTGCACATGAACATTGCTCTTCTCCTGCTGTTGGTGTCAGGGTTTGTTCTGAGTATGATGTAGTCCCCATGCCTACAGATACAAGCCAATTATTTAATATTAATGTCACCTCAACAAAAATAAGAGTTTGGCCATCATCTATCTTTCTTATCATTTTGCCTTATTTTTCAGTTGGTTTGAAACTGAGTAAGAAAGAGGGATGCTATTTGTTAGAGTCATGAATTTTAAGAGTTGAAATTCCATATGTGCTTTGATATCTATAAAAAGTTTAGCGGTGAGTTCCTCTGTTTTCACCAGATATATCCCTCCTCCTGGTGGGAAAGGCTCCTGTCCTGCTAGTTTCTCTATCAGTAAGAATAAGTGCACCCCCAACCCACAACAGGTTTCACTTCCCTGCCAGTTGGCAAAATCATTCAGACAAGCCAATCACATCCTCCCATGGGAGCTAAGGTCACCTCAGCCTCTTGTCACTGTAAAGCCTGCTGTCCACAGCCCCTGCTGGTTCATTCTATTCCTGAGTGCAACTCCCACATGGCACACATGGCCCTGCCTGGGGTGCAGCCATCTCCTCCCTCGGGCTGGGAGTATACGAGACCAACCAACTGCGGTCAGCCTCACTATTCTAGCTTCAAGGGTTGTGTGTTCAGTCATCTACTACTATTGGAGCTATAGAGTCTTGCCTTGATCAGTGGTGTATAGGAGGTGGTCAGAATAGCACACTCAAATTACCACAACTTCCTCATGAAGTGTTCCCAGACTGCATCACCAACATAATCATCGTGTCTTCCTCTGAGTTACTCTTAACTTATCAATAGATTATCCTAGTTTTTGTGTGGAAGTAAAGCTCCCAGAGGTCAAAGACTGTGTCTTCTACTACTTTATGTTTCCACACACATAGGCTGGGCATAAAAATACAGTAGGATTCAGCAACCTGTGGATCTACCAGGTTGAAGCAGATACTTTTGATGCCCCCCTATATCCCTCGGCTTTTATGACTTCAGTGCATACCTGTCCATTCCCACCGGCTAACACCGGCATTTCTTTGTCAGAAGGTCTTCTCTGGCTTCCAGAGTACTCTTGGTAACCTGAACAGAATTTCCAGAGGCCCTCACAAATGACTTATGAGGTTTGGTATATAAATAGCTCCGTTCCTTCACCCACCTCCCACTCCTGGGAGAACTCTGAGGTGTGATCTACACCAGCTCCAAGAGTTCTGTGGCAAGAATAAGCATCAGTTTCCCACAGTGGAAATTTGTTCAGTGACACAGTTTTATTGGCTGCCTTCCCTTGCTGCATTTCCCATCTCCCTGTAGGTGCTTTCTGGGTGCTACCTGCACATGAATCCTTGTCTCAGGGTCTATTTTGGGAGTAAACCAAACTAAGGCACAGGTTTGAGGCTCTTTGCTAAGCACAAAGGAAACATAAAGATAGAAGGTGTGGTTATTGTGCTCAAAATAGTGTCCTTTGGAAAAGACTGTGTCCCCATACATGAGACTGAAAGACAGATTGGCATCAGACTATAAAGACTACATACAAGGTGCTAGACTCAGGATTTGGCATGTGTTCTATAGGCATTGAAACTTTTGGAGGTTTTGTAAGAAACGAAATATATTAGAAAGACTCTTCAATGGTGATATTCTGATGCTTATTATGGATGAGTATGGATTTCAGGGGGCAGTCAGGATCTTCTGTAGGGGAAGAGACAAGTTAGAGGAGCATAGTGATGGTCCAGCCATGACTTGCCAAGAGATGAGGCTGGAGGGACTAGTGCCAGGACCTGGTGTAGGGCTGCATCTGCCAAAGGGGGTGTGTGGGTGGGGGTAGAATGGGGAGAAAAGCAAAGGATGATGGTAGTATTACCTGCTTGTATGATTGGGAGATGGTGGAACTGCTGACAGAGCTGGAAGCTGACTGAGGCAGAGCTAGTTTGGGGTGGAAAAGGAACCACTCCTGTATTGTAACAGGATGGTTACTTCCTGAGAATCTCCAATATTAAAAAAAAGAAAGAAAAGCCCCACAACTACATTATAAAGACAAAGATTTCAACGGAACAAAGGGGATGAGGACAGTGGTAACTCCCACTTGAGCAGACAACAGAGTCACTCAGGGAATTGGGTAAAAATGCAGATGATTAGGCTCTAGCCAGGGGATTCCCATTCAGTAGGGCCCCAAGAATCTGACTTTGTATCATTGTATCAAACATATTTCCCCTGGGGTATTTTGTGTAGTTGGTTGATAGGTAAGTTTCATAAACACTGGGTTCAGGGCTTGAGAGCCTCACAGCTGTGATAACAAAATTGTTTTTTTCCTACAGGAATTAAGTTATAAAAAGGAAGATGCCTCTTATATCTGCATGTGTATTATATTATCATAAGTGAAAAAATCAATAGGTTGATTAAAAAGGACAATGGACCTAAATAGCTCTAAGAACTGGGAAAAACAAGTTGAAAGGTGATAAAAAGGAAAGAGATGATTAAAAATACATCATCAAAATAAAAAAAAAATACATCATGAAAATGAGTTTCAGCATAACTCACAATGATGAACCAAAAAGATGTGACACAAATTGACTTCTTAAAAAGAGCCACTGGTGGTTCAGTGCTGGCCTACTACTGTTTACATAAATAAAACATGTGTCAAATTTGTCTGAAGCTGTAATTATAAATTTTTCTTTATAAATTTACAACAGATCAAGGACTTCCAGAACATATCATGCAAATATATGCAAATAAGCAGAGGGATGTATGCAAAAAAGAAAGGCAAAAATGTCCTTCTCTCTTTTTTACAAGCAAACCAGGCAATAAACCCACTGTAAAATCAGCTTTGCATCAAAGTCACCAGAAACCAGAGTGCCTAGTGTATTATTCCATTTTTGTGAAGTTAAAAAGTGGATAAAATGAAACTATGACACTAGAAATCAGATTGATGGTTGCCTGGGGTGGGAGGATTGACTGGTAAGGAGCACAAGGAAGCTTTCTAGGGGATGAAGATGTTCTATATCTTGATTTGGGTTGTGGTTACAAGAAAAACTTTGCACATGCTGCCTTGGCTGGAAGCTGCCTTGTCTATAATGTAGCTAAGTAGTAACTTGCTTAAACCTGATGCTTTTGCTTGTGTGTTGGAGAGGCTCATGGTTATATGACATGACTGTATCTGAAGCAGATGTGGTATGTGGCAGCATGGCCGAGAGCTAGGGGTTCAGGAGACTCACTCTTGCCTACATTTGGGAGAATATGAGCCACAACTGAAGAAACCAACCCTCTTTTGCCTCGATAGATCGGCAAACATTTGAATCTGGAGTAAAGCCAGCTGTTAGAGCTGAAGTGAGAAAAGAGGAGACCTGGGCCACCTCCGTCATGTTTCCCGTGCCTGACATCCTCACCTGTCAATAGCAATGGCCAGCAGGGCGTTGGTGGAGACGTAGAGTGAGACGGTACGCAGGTAGTTGATAGAGGCACATAGCACATGGCCATGCTCCCAGGAGAGCTGATGCACCACATAGTAGTCCATCTCAAAGGGGCAGCAGATGATGGCTACCAGGAAGTCGGAGATGGCCAGGTTAGCAATAAGCAGGTTGGTGAGGTTGCGCAGCTTTTTATAGCGGGTGAGGGCAGTGATAAAGACAAAGTTGCCAATACCACAAGTCAGCATGATACCCACAAGTGCCACCCCAATAACAATCTTGGCTGCAAAGAAGGTCTGAGTCTTGGTCATATCCTCATCCTCATCCAGAGGGAGGTCATAATCACCATAACTGAAGTTGAAGGGGAGGGAGGAGGCATGTTCTTGGGGTATACTGAAGTTGGTTGGAAAACTAGCATTTCCATTCTGGGCTGCCATGGTGAAGCTTGCCAGTGAGCGGTGTGTGGGAGACTCCAGGGTCTGCAGACTCTGAGCTAGGGTCCAGACCTTCTGCTCTCATGAGGTCAGAGATTCTAGCACCCTGCCCACATCCTTGGGGATTCAACATGCCATCCTCGATCCTGGAAGGAGACACAGCCAGTTGATAAGATACAGGTGAACACCTGGTAGCATCTTCTCAGAGTCCCCCCAGGTGTAGGCAAACCAGATCCAGTGTCTACCCTTAGGCAGAACTGCCCATGGTACAGTGGGGAGGACACATGATACCTGGAAATTGGGAAACCGCCTACTGACTGGCTGTCAGGAGGGATTTGGGCATGGGTTGGTTTGGACTCCCCAGAGACACCCAAGAAGAATGTGTATCTTTGCTTTTTGCCCAGGGGCCAAGACCGGTTTGGCTGCCCAGTCACCCTCCCCTGCCCCCCAGGAAGCCCCCACAAGGGTCTTCCAGAAGTTTTCCCCAGCTGCTCAGGCAGCTGACTCAGGACTCTATGGGAGTCACAATGTTATGCCAGCTGTGACCAGGGACAATGAAGCCAGAAGATGTGGATACAGTAGGGTCTTTCCTCCAAAGCGGGGACTGCTTCCTCTCTGGGCCAGTTCACAGACTTGAAAATCACCACTTTCACATGGACAGGCTGAGTCATCTTGGGCCAGTGATATATGCTCTCTCAATTCCAGTTTTCCTATAAACCAAAATCCTGATGCTTAGCCCAGGGCCTGGCACAGAGGAGGGGCTGTTGAAGGAATGAATGAAGATCCCAACCAAGATTCTGCAGGTGGAGAAGCCTGTGGGTGGGAGGGAACTCTCCTGCTGTTTCCTGAGGCCATTTTTGAAAAAACCTGCTGTCTGCTTCCCTTCCCTGCCTCCATTCTTTTGATCTGCCCCCTCACCAGCACCCCGGTTTCCCCTTCCAGCCTTGACTGGGAGGCACCACATCTCCTTAAGGAGTCTGTGTCCTCTGAAAGTGGTGGCAGCTCCAAGATATTGCTTAACTGAAAACAGACCCCCAAGGGGGTGGGGGTGGGGGTGTGGGAGTGGAGGCGGGGGTGTCAGTGAGGATCCAGGAGGGCTTGAGGGCTGACATGTCCCTTATGGCCTAAGTTCTCTACATTCTTGGTGCCTCCAGATGCCCATAGGGGAGGAAATAAAGTCTCTGAAGTACTGAGCCCTCGGAAGATAGGTACGGTACCGTTGGGTTCGAGGTGTCCGAGGCACTAGGAAAAGAATCCAGACCCAGCACCCACGGAATACCACCCCTCATCTGCCACCCCTCCGCCCCGCTCCCCGCGCTCATCCACCTTCCCCCACCTCCTAGCACACTGGGAAGGACTCCCAAGAGTGGGAGCCACGGGATGCTGGAGGCAAGAAGCGGAACAAACTGGACAGTAGGTTTGGTTTGGTCCAGCCCTGTGAGAAGATGGGGAGAAAGAAGGACAGAAACTGCTCTCCCCCGCCCACCATCTCCACGCCCGACCCCCAGCACGGACAGCAGTCGCAGGATGGCTAGTACACTCCAACCTGCGACGCGGCAGCCTGCTGTGTACCTGGGGAGGTTCAAGACCCGCAGCTAAAGATAGCTTCGTTTTGGATCGCCTCTGTGTCTCACCCAGCCCTCCGCAGGCTTTACTAAGGCGGCGATCGGGAAGCTGGACTCGCGCTCTCTCGGATTCTACTTTCGGCTGCTCTTTGGTTCCGGTCCCGGGACCCGCGAGGAGACGGAAGGCTCCCAGGCTGGAGCCGGTCCACTCCCCATTACCTCGGGATGCTCTCCCTGCCCTTGACCAACCCACTCCGGGAGCCTGGTCCTTCGTCTCCCTTATTAACCACTGTCTCTCTTTAACCACAGTCGCCGGAGGCGCTGCCCTGGCAGGGGCTGGAATCAAGTCAGAAATTCAGGCTCGAGAAGCAAAGCCTGTGAGGCCTCCAGGCGGGAAGAAAACTGGGAGTGGAGAGAGGAGATGCAGAGCGGGGGTTTTCCCAGAGACACTTCCCCTTTCCTGCTCACCTTCCCGAAGGCGCTCCCTGCCCACGCCCTCCTCTGCGGTTTGGTGCTCGCCCCGCGGCCCAGCTACCCAGTGGCTCCCTCCGTCCGCGGCTGCCCTGCCTAGCCCCAGCCTACCGCCCCCTGCCTGGTCATCTGCCGGCACCCACTCCTCTACTGCGAGCCAGCCAGGGCGCATTCGAAAGGCGGCAGCAGGCAAAGCGGCCCGAAACTCCCTGAGGAAGAAGCGGGCGTCTGAGCCCTCAGCCAGAGCGACGCCCCCCACCCCGCCACCGGAGCCCGCGACTGCGCCAAGCTCTGCACTTACCCGCTTCCGAGCTCTCCCCACCAGCGGTCTCGGGAAGCCGGACTTGCGCTTCGAAGGAGGTGTCCCTATTCCTTCTCACCCAGCGCCCTTCCCAGGCGCGTCGTGGTCCCCGGGTTCCAGCCCGCGTTCAGCCCGCGCAGCATTCCCTGGCTTCTGGGGCCCGGCTGGGTGCGCCAGCTCCGCTCTGGGCTCCGCCCCAGGGTCCCCGCCTGTCTCAGCGTGGAGGCGGAGGGTGGCCTCTCGCCTCGCGCACCTGGTGCTCCCAGGATTCGGGACGCACGAAGTTCTAGTCGCCTTGGCGGGGTCGGTCCCTCGAGAGGATTTCCGAGCCCTCGTACCCCAGTGTGAATGGGACTTCAGTAGCCGTTTAGATATGCGCAAGTCTGGGGAACCCGCAAGGCCCTCTGTACCCCTGCGAGGCGCCCCACAGGGATCCTGTCTTCCTGGAGCCCAGTAACAGCATTCGCTCCTGCTGCATACACTGATTACGTCTGGAGGAGCCCAGGGTGCATTCTATCGTTCGTTCTGGAAGCTGTGTGCTGGGGACACTGTCGAGTGCAGAATAGAGCTTTGGGGTTGTGGGGGAGGAGATTCCTCTGGAGGAAGCTGGAGACTCTAGGAGGCTTGCCCTGCTCAAAGCACCGACCCTAAGAACTCACTAAAAACTGCGATGCCCACAACTACCAGAGACCTTGGTCATTCAAAACCATCCCAGTTGGGGCCCTCCTGTCTTTAAGGAGTCTCTTGAGTTCCTCACTTTGTTTACAACAGGTTCTGATTTTAGGCAACTCCTACGGTTTCTCTGGTCTTTGGTTTCCTTACACAATGAACGAAGGGATTAAACTCTCAGGACCTGCAACTGATGGCTGGTAGCTGCAGCCATCAGAGGGAAGCTCTAGCTTTACAGAATTAGAACTGGAAGCTGTGGCAGGAGACTGAAGGATTGAAGGTATTTCCTGCTGTTAAATCCTAGCCAATGATTACTGACAGTTTGGAATATGGACAGGTCAGGTCTTCCCATCTTTTCACGGAGTCTGGGGTTTCAGGACTTTATAAATAGTCTCTTGGGTTAGTTAAAACAAAACAAAAGCCCTGTGTTGTCCAAAGAGAACATATTTCATAATGGATATAGTCCAATGTGATGCCAATTTCAAATTCCTGAATGGATGATTAAGAAAACTTTTGAGTTGTGACATTATGTGATTCTGCCTCTCACCTTATATAGAACTAACCCTACCCTCCTTCTTTTCTTTAATATTTTTTACTTTATTTTTTCAAATTTATTAGAGTTGATATATAACATTGTGTAAGTTTAAGGTATACAGTGTGATGGTTTGATACATGCATACGTTGTGAAATGATTACCAAAATAATGTTAATTAACACATCCATCACCTCACATAATTTGTTTTGTTTGTTTTTTTTTGGTGGTGAGACAGTTTAAAGTGGTCAACTTTCAACTCATCACCTTTCAAGTATATAATACAGTACTGTTAACTATAATCACCATGCTGTAATTAGATATCCAGAACTTATATTGATATTATAACTGCAAGTTTGTACCCTTCAACTAACAGCTCCCCATTACCTCTCCAGCCCCTGGCAACCACCATTCTACAATATTCCATCATATGTATCTCATCTGTTTATACATTCATGGACACTTAGCTTGTTTCCATGTCTAGGCTATTGTGAATAACACTGCAAAGAACATGGAGGGGGGGTGAAGATATCTCTTCAAGGTAGTGGTTTTATATTCTTCTGATATATACCCAGAAGTGGGATTGCTGGATCATATGGTAGTTCTATTTTTAATTTTTTGAGGAACTTTCACAACTTTTTTCATAGTGTGGTGGAATTTACATTCCACCCAATGCTGCACAGGGTTCTCTTTTCTCTATAACCTTGCCAAAACTTGCTATCTTTTGTCTTTTTGATAATAGCCATCCTAACAGGTTTGAGGTAATATCTTACTGTGGTTTTGATTTTCATTTCCCTGATGATTAGTGATATTGAAGCATCTTTTCATGTACTTGTTGTCCATTTGTATGTCTTCTTTGAAAAAAAATGCCTAATCAGCCCTCGGACCATTAAAAAATCAGCTTATTATTATTGCTATTGAGTTGTATGAATTCCTTATACATTTTGGATATTAACCCCTTATTTGGAAGATGGTTTGCAAATATTTTCTCCTATCCCATTAGGATGTTTCTTCGTTCTGTTGACTATTTCTTTTGATATGCAGAAGCTTTTTAGTTTGATATAACCCCACTTGTTTATTTTGTTTTTATTGAGCATGGTTTTAAGGTTATATTTTAAAAATGGTCACCAAGACCAATGTCATGGAAAATTTTCCCTGTTTTCCTCTAGGGGTTTGACAATTTCAGGCCTTACATTCAAGTCTTCACAATATTTCAAGTTAATTTTTGTGAGTGACGTATCTAGGGATCCAATTTCATCCTCTTGTTTGTGAATATCCAGTTTTCCCAACACCATTTATTGAAATGACTATCTTTTCCCCATTGAGTATTATTGGCTACCTTGTCAAATATGAGTTAAGTGTATGTACATGGGTTTAATTATGGGCTCTGCATTCTATTCCATTAGACTGTGTGTCTGCTTTTATGCTAGTACTATACTATTTTGTTTATTATGCTATGCTAAGTCACTTCATTGTGTCTGACTCTTTGCGACCCCTCGG